ACCTTTCTCTACTACGTTTTCCCTCTTTATCCCGCCGCTACCCACGTTCGCTCGAACACCGAGAGGCGGCCATGACACGTGTCAATCTACCGCAGACGCCCGATCGATACCGACGGACCTCGGCTTCTCTCTGCGCTCCTCCACCTCTTTCTTCGCCCTATCGTCGACAACCACCCCATCCTCGTCCACCTAACCGTCTCCCCCTTACACACCCCAGCCTCCCCACGTCGTCAACCAGCCCGCACGGCCACCCCCTGTCCCTCGCGACCCCTTACGACCACGCGCCCTATACCGAACCTTCTGCGAATGCTATACACGCTGACGCCAACCCTCGACCCATGACCCGCTCTCTGCCACCGTCGCCGAGAGAATCGCGCCTATTTCAACTACACAAAGGAGATTTCGTTTTCCAGACTTGGCCAATCGCACTTCTCTCTCTCTCCGAGAGAAACCTGTCCCGGCCGCGTCACCCAAACTTTATCCAACTCGGCCAACCTTCCACCCGATCCAACGGAATTCCGACCTCTCGCTCTTTCCTTCTTTTTACCAACTATTATACATACCACTTTACTTGCTCTCCGGTCCTTCTCCTACCTTATATGTATCTACTTTATACCATACCGAATACGTTCAACTCCAGATTCCACCGTCCGTCGCTAATTGTCCTTAAAAGCCACCCCCTCCTTCCCTAACACCCAACTCCAGATCGGTTTGTCGCAATGAAAACTCCTCCGAAACTTTTTCACCAATCTTCCTATCGAACTTGTCGAGCGTGCTTCGCGGGCAAAGCAACCGTGACGCGACGGTCCAAATATATCACGCCGATTTATCCCGACAAATATGCCTCGATTATCCTCCAACCGTAATATAGCCTAATAAAAGGAAAGATGCACTGGTTTGCATAGGTACCTGCTACACGCCCCCCTCGGTCAGTGGGAAATAATAGCTCCGCGTGAATTCGACGGCAACGAACGTATTCGTCGGCGACTCGAAACGTTTTGCGATAGCCGATAACTCACGGATCGAGCCGAAGCCGAAGCCGATTTCGTTAGGTTAGAAACGCGGCAAGTTTATCGGGGTCGTAAACTTTCAACGAGCGCGAAAATATGCGAGCACTACGAGGAAAGAACGTTAAAGTACGATCGTGCGCGCGTCTCTTGCCGCGCGCACCGTTTCGCGGGACGTTGATGTTTCGACCGACGATATCCTTCGCTCGAAATAATGCATCGGCGTGAATCGCGCGCGTGGACTTTGATCGGTAGCTGAGTGAAAAAAAGCAGATCCGAGAACGAGTGATACGTGTTCGTAATTCGATTAACCGTGGGGGTTCGCCTGCGATTTCTCCAACAGCGAAGAAACGATTTTCAAACAAAGTCATCTGGCAGCGAATTCTAATGGTCGATTGCCCGAGTTATTTTCGATCCTACCAAGGTTACCGAGTCGTTTCGAAGAGGGGTCGCTCGCGTATCGGCATTACCCCCGTCCTCCGACAACACGGATCTTCTCGTCTATT